GTCAGTCAGCCTTTAATGGCTGGATCCTCTTTAGTAGAGTCCCTTAGAAAGCAGCAGTTAATTCAGACACACAGAAATCCACAGAAGGATAATAAGTACACAGAAGTACAAGACAGACAATTGTGCTAGGACATAAATAAGCTCAACCGCTGTAAGGCACACACAAGCTCTGAGTATTGAATGATGTCTTCCCAAAGTCTCCAGGACTTCGGTGTCGGCTTCCGCTGCCAGAGATTTCTATCTCTTGCTCTTGACCGGTTTACCGCAATGCGGCAAACCGGCAAACTGGGTGCCTATCCGCTTCTGGGTCTGTGTGCTGGCGTTGCTGCGCGGTGTGCCCGAGCAAGGATGCTACGCTCGGGTCACGCCGCATGGACGCGACCCCACACCTACAACTTATCTGGAATGTTTGCCTGGAAAGGAAAGCTTCGTATAATCGCATTTTTGTAGAGGTAAAAATTAATTAACCAACAAGGAATTTGATCTTTGTTCAATAAGATCAAGTTCAACGAAATCGCATGAACATAAGTTACATAGCAAGCTGAGTTTACAAATGTGAGGGAAATACTTTTCTCGAAAATTGTATTTTCTGAGTGATGAGATTGGAAGATTCATAAGCAATTGCACAACAGTATCAATACGGAAGACACCATATATATTTCGGTTTCTTGTTGAACAAGAATTGAAACTTTTTAGACACAACTTTCTTCCCGAGTTTCTGTGCCGACTCAAACAGTCACGATTTTGTTTTCTATACAGATGAAACCAAAATCATGGATGCTTTCATAACTCAATAAGTAAGTGTGTATATATGCGCATTGAGTCATCAAAATTCTTTGTTTTAGAAGATAACAGCTTTATTGGTGAGTAGCCTTTATATTAATCAGTGAGTTGAGAAAGATTTTTGGAAAATTCCAAACAAGGAAACCCCATTTTAGTGACCTATAGGAATTTATTTCGTTCGATCCTCGTTTTATGTTCAAACTCATTTGACAAGATTTTGCAATCATAATTTTCGTAATAATTCACAAGAGCAAAAAAAAAAAACAGTATGAAAAGTTTAATGAAAACCAACATTACATTCACAAGTTTCTCATGGATCCTCTCAACTATTCAGGCTTGAGGCAAGGTTTAAATTCATGTGTTAGAAAGTAAAACAAGCACCTTGACAATGTATAAACGTTAATTATTACGATAAAATTCTCAAAATTATTTTTAAATGAAGAAAGAATAATTTAGAGTTTCAGCCTTTTGACGCGTTGAATCTAATTTCTCTTTTTCAAACAAACCACAAATTCGCTATTACGGGCTGCAGTCTGATGAAAATTTATAAGATCCAGAACGATTGAAACCATTTCATTCATTGATTTGAAAACTCGTTTCATATTACAAC